AAAAAGTGTTACAGATGTTGCCTTTTCACACCTCATGATCTTAAGAAACATTAAATGACTAAAGTCTGTTCAACTTTGAGATTTATCACTCATATAAAATGAGAATGTCATTGTCAGGTAATTCCTAAATAATTAAACATGCTGGAAGTGGCCTTTGGTTTTTGGGTGCTTACTCCACACTTTGGATGTGGACCTTGTGTGTTATGTTGTAACATTTGTTCTTCTCTGGGTGGATTGATTTGAGGAGTGACTTCAGAAGACTTAAAAAATGTAACCACAAGGTGTTGCTTACAGGCACAAACCTGTATTTGAGAGATTAAGAACTAGGCTGCACATATCGTTTAGGGATATGCCTAAGACTATTGTAAAAATTGTATTCTATATTTAACAACCTTCAATAGAAAGTGGTTGTTGTGTTACAGGCCATCTTTTCATTGCCTCATGAGGAGCCTGTTGTGATTTATATATTTAAGGTTTATCTATTGTGGTAAACAGTAGGGGATTTAATTCTGTGTTCTAGTTATAATAGGGAATTAATACCACCTAAATGAATTTTAATTGAAATAGAGGATCCCAGGAGTCCTCTGACCAGAGAGAGGGCCTGGAGCCTAGCTGTTCCCACTGTTCTGCTATTGTTGCTCCTTGGAGACAATGGCATTTTGGGGAGACCAATTTTGTTTTAATTGGTTTTGAGACTCACTATACCATGTATTCTGGGAAGTTATAGTATTGAGCAAAGTGGTAACTTCTTTTAAAAAATGAGGCAGATTTGTTGTGATTTCTAGCTTTTGATGAGTATTTTGGTCTCATGGTAACAGAGTTTAAAATGCTGCTCTATTGCTAAGACCCAAAACTATCCCTTTTCTAGTAGCAAGTGTTAAATGATTGAATATCACAGAATCAATTGTTTTACATTTTTGTTTTCCATACACTTTTTGGGAGGATACGTTTCAAAATCTAGTGCTTCCAGAGTATCTTTAGAAAGAACTTTCTAGCCCAGGCTGGTGTGGCTTAGCTGGTTGGGGCATCGTCCTGTACACTGAAAGGTCTCGGGTTCAATTTCAGTTAAGGGCACATACCCAGGTTTCAGGTTCAATCCCTGGTTGTTGGAGTATGTGCAGGAGGCAACCAATTGATGTTTCTCTCTCACTTCACTATTTCTCTCTCCTTTTATCTCTCTCTAAAATCAGTTAAAAAACATATACTCAGGTGAGGATTAAGAAAAAGTCTGCCCTGGAGGTACAGTCTAAAAAGGAAAGAGAACTTTAGCTATTAATAACTGGATAATTGAGGCCTGAAAACTGTAAAAGATTATTTACTTATTCTTACTAATTTTTTTACATCATATTTTCAGGAACATCTGCTGCTTTGGAGGAGTAATAGTATATGAAGTTAGTCTTTCAGCTGTAGTAGAAAGGTTGTAAAATGTAGCAGAGGCAGCATGAGGCAAGTAAAGAGTTCTGCTAAAGCTTTATGTTGTTGAACAAGTTACTCTCTCTTAGTCTTACTTTTCTTATTTGCATAGTAAACATAATAGTATACCTCTACATTTATTATAAATATTAGAGTGGGTGAAACAATGAATTGGAAAGTTCTTTGTACAGTGAAATTTTATACAGCTGTTACTTACTTGCTAACTCAGCAAATTATAATGCCAAGTGATGACACGCTTTTCCTTGGCACACTAGCTGCTGACTGTCCCATGTGCTACTAATGCTCATGCCAAGTCATCCACAGTGATATCTTGCCATTCTTTATAGCTCTGCTATTTCAGATCTCTGATGGAGTAGTTTGATGGAGGAGTCTGATGGATTAGCTTGATGATTTCTGAATAAAAATTCCAGGATGCTTGAGGTAGAAAGCCTGAGAACGATTGTTCCTAGTATACCTAGGGATTTTATAGCAGTAGAGTATAGCCCATAAGAGTTCTCAGCAGTTTGTCTAACTGCTTGAAAGGGAGTAAATCTCTTAATTTTTTTTAAGATAGTAATTTTTTTACTAAATGTACAGTAAGGTGAAAGGATTAGTTCTTGTCCACATCCAATCAATTTCAAATTGAGAGGCCTCAAGAGTCTCTTTCAGTAATAGCTCTATAGGACTTGCCTGTTTACCTTTCTACTTTGCTTTTAATATTTTTGCAGAATTATCTTATTTGTATATTTTCTTAATATGGAAATCATGATGCTGGAATAGCCATTCCCAAGTATAGTTGAGGTTGAAGAGATAATAAATCCCAGGGTTATAATGGATAGCTTTCATGGCTGATTCTTGAGACTCTGAAACCATATCTCTGAAATGTGAATTTTTTTTTAGAAACACAACCTCAGAGGAGACAAGAGGGGAAGTCATTACACAGTCTTACATTGCTTAAATTCTCTTATCGGAGCAAGAACAAAGCTGTTACTACTATTTTTATTGAAATATGGTTATACAGTGGAAAAGTATAAGTTTTGATTATATCCCAGGCAGCTTTTGTTTTCAATTAAAATTGTGGAGTACAACAGTCATTCTTAAAGTCCATTAATTTATCTTAATTAAAAAATAGTGATGCTTTGTTTTGTGAATTAGGCCTGTGAAGTTTTGCAGTCAACTTGTTCGGTGGAATTATTAATTCATAGTTCTTGATTGTTTTAAATTTTATTTTTGCAATCTGATTTTCACAGACTGTTTGAAATCACTTCTGTTTTTTATTTTCTTTGGGACAATTGGATTATAAGAAAATATACTCACTATCTTGAATTTTAATCTTTCTGAATCTAACCTTTCTAGATCTCTTTATGAAGAGTTTAATTTCAAAAGACTGTGATTCTGTCTTTAAGAGTGCTATAATACAAGCTTATTTTCAAATAAAGAAGAAAATAACTTATAGTAAGGTTTATAGTCAACCTGAAAAATTGAGTTAAGGTTAACAAGGTCAGAAACAAAAGTAATATAGACTATTTTGGGGGGATGGAGCATAATGATTTAGACTCAGCTTAGAGTAAACTTTAAGTTTAATATTTTTATCAAGTATATTTAAGATTTATTTTACTCGGAAGTGAGATGTGAAGGGAGCATTTGAAAACTTTGAGAACTACTATATATGTTTTGGCTTGTGCTGGGGTTTGTATACAGTTAAAGCAGTGACGCTGTTGTAAATAAAAATGATGGTATTGACAAGATTTGAGTTATTCTTTTTGCAAGAGGTGTTGGATTTGTGCTCACTAAATCACACCCGTTGGGGTGTTTCACCTTGGAACTAAGGACATATGTTCAAGATAGCTGGCCATAATATAATATAGACTACCTATTAGTCACTTTTGTGTATATTAATACCTCTGTGAACTTAAATGGCTATAAATATTGGTTATAACATACCACTGATATTTGGATATTCATTTATCCTGCAGTTTTATATTTGGTAGGAGAAAAGCACTCAAACCATTGGAAAACTAGGTTATATTTTTTATCTTTTCATATGTGAGGTTCATTTGTACTTGACTTGCTATCTAGAGTTAAATATTACATTATTTTTCTTTTATTGAGTTAGTATGAATTCAGTTAGCATCTTAAAAATAAAATTGATAAAGTAGTAGAGGATAAACAGGAAAATGTGTAGTTTAGTCATTGAGCCTATTGACTTATATTGTACTGAGAACTGGTTTTAGATTTGTCAGGAAAGAGAAGAAGCACAAATCATAATTGCTACTTCAAATGATTGTGGTCACAAGAATCTGTGTGTATTCTGAAATCAATAAAAGAATAATTTAAAGCTCTAAAATTAGGTACAAGGTAGCATAGAATGGTTTAGAATAGTTTAAGAATTCGGAGAAAAAGGTGATAGTGAACTATGCCAAGTAGGAAGTGGCTTTTGAGCTTGAATTGCAGTCTTTGGATTGTTCCTGGGTTAGGGGAGGGAAGGTATCTGCCCATGATACCCCAGAACCAGTGAGCTACTTATGAATGAGGCTAAGTTCAGAATAGGTTTGCTTTTTCTTTTAAGTTTTGCATTTCTTATCCCCAAATTAACATTATTTCCCTGTTACTTTTTCCCATCTGACCTTTCTCTGAGAGGTATTCCACTATTTCCCACCCCTCCAGCTTTATTGAGGTATAGTTGACAAAATTGTAAAAATTTAGAGTATACAGTGTGATGATTTTTTTTTTTAATCTTTATTGTTGAGACTATTATAGATGTCCCCTTTTGAACTCCACTGATCCCTTCCACCCCCACATCCATCCTATCCCCAGGCTTTCCCCATACCAATGTCTGTCCATGGGTTATGCTTATAAACATATAAATTCTTTGATTAATCTCTCCCCACCCTCTTCTCCCTCCCCACCTTCCCTCTGAGATCCCTCATTCTGTTCCATGCTTCTATGTCTCTGGATCCACTTTGTTCATCAGTTTATTTTATTATATTTCACATATAAGTGAGGTCATGTGGTACTTGTCTTTCTCTGACTGGCTTATTTTACTTAGCATAATACTTTCTATTTCCTTCCATGCTGTGCCACTATTTTCTTTAAAAGAAGTAAGATATGGAGAAGCAAAGAACTCAAAGCCTTACCTTCCTAAAGGCAGAGTGGTGTGAATAGAATTAGTATATTTAGACATTTGCAGCTTCAGATATTTTATTTTCAAGTAAAATAAGGAAGTCTTGAGGAAATAACTAGGGCTTTTAGAATTGGATAGATAGGGATTCAAACCCTGGTGGTTCCACCTTTCTTCCCATTATGTTTAATATGCGAACAGTACTATCAAAATCATGGTGGTGTTTCCATTAAATATAGAATCACATGTATAAAGCATGGTGCGTGGTCTATAGAATGACTGAATAAATGGAGGTTAAAAAAATACTTAAATTGAAACAAATAGTTGAGGTAATTCTATATGGTAAACTAAGATAAACATTTAAAAATAGTTTGTGGCAAAGAATATAGTTTAATTTGTATACTTTGGCAATTTTCTCTGTTTAATTCTTTACATTTCTCATTTTTCTATACCTTTTTTCTTTTAGGAGACAAGGATGGCAGTAAGGTGACCACAGTGGTGGCAACTCCGGGGCAGGGTCCAGACAGGCCACAAGAAGTCAGCTATACAGACACTAAAGTGATTGGAAATGGGTCATTTGGTGTGGTATATCAAGCCAAACTTTGTGATTCAGGAGAATTAGTTGCCATCAAGAAAGTATTGCAGGACAAGAGATTTAAGGTAAGATGTTCAGTATTTCATGTATTTTGTTGCTATCAGTACATGTAAATGATTCTTTTTTTCAGTTTCTTTTTGCTTCAAATTTCATTTATTGTGCATATTTTTGTTCAACTCAACTACTTACTATAGTGATTTTATTTTCCGTTATGTATTTCGAAGAGATAAAGTATCCTGAAGATTGCATTATTATTTTTGAACCACTGCTATGAGCGATTCATGTATTTAAAATACTGTGAAAGATAGATTAAAGCATCTTCCTTTCTACTTTTAAAAAGTTATCTCTCCCTGCCTTAGGTCTCACTGGTGTAGGAGACCTGAGAAACACTGCCTCTAGCAGAGGATCATTTGATATTTTTGACTATGCTTCCTTTCTTAAAAAATTTCCTTTGAATTTGTGATTCAACACTAACATTACCCCCCACCCCCATAACTAGGACCTTTCTTTATTGTCTTCTTATGTCTCTCTTCCATCTGCCCCTAGAAACCAGCAATCCCCACAGTTCATTTTATTTTAATTTCTTACATCATTTCTTTAGGGGATCCTGTACATGGATGCTTGGAGGTCATCTCTGTTATAGTATAGTGGAGAGAGTCAGGAGACCTGGGCTGTAGTCAAGGCTTTGCCATTAGTAAGCCATGCAGTTCTGTTTCTTTCTCGACGACTCCTACCTCTGCAACATTTTACTGAGAGTTTCCCATTTATTAGGAACTTTGCTAAACATTAAGGGATATAAAAATAAATAAGGGGTGATTACTGCTCTGAAATAGCACACATTCTAGTGTCTGTATGCTCTAGAATGTCTCGAACATTCTAAAGGTAATTTTAATCTTTTTAGAAAAAAAATCTACAGTTTTTGCCATCAGTTCTCATTCTCTCTCCCAATTGCTAGTTCCATGTTTCCAAATGCCCTCTGGATCTTGGTATCTCAGTGTTGCACTGTTATCTCAAATTGGCAAGACTTCTTATACAACCCTGACTTTTAAGACCCAATGGAAATCATTTCTGTTGGTTCACATTCCTTTTTTTCTTTTTCTGTCTAATGGCATTACCATTCACCTTGTCATTCAGACTTTTCCATTTTCTAAAACCTCCCATTCTCTCATACCTCATATCCAATCATTATTGAACTTGGTTGATTCTCTCCCCCCCCACTGCCTTGTTGATCTATCCCTTCTTTCCTTTTCTCATCACTACTGTTCTGATCAGGCTCTTGTCACTATTTGGCTTAACCACTTTGTAAGACTCTACCTCCGGATCTTCTCACTTCTAATCCCTTCTACATTCCAACACTAGAATAATCCCACAGTTCAGTTCGGTCATATTGTTTCTCCTACATACAAATCTTCTATTGTTCCCCATAGTCTAGAAAAGAAAGCCTGCTCACTTCAGTTGTACTTTCAGGCGCTTCCATAATCTTGCTGTATCTCCAAATACTCAGTTTTCCAACTTTCTGTGTCACTGTCCTGGACCTATATTGGTCTTTATGGCCTCTTTGCTTTTATTAAGATTCCCATTGTCTTCCCATATCACTTCCATTCTTCTACTATCTAAATCTAAGACCCATGTCAGATTCTTTATGAAATTTCTCAGATGATTCCAGCCATCCATATGGATTTTCCTATTCTAAATTTCTTGAACACTAGAAAATTCCAAATTTTTTTATGATAAGGACTTCATTTTTATTTATGTGTGTCTCTTGGATACCCACCTACTCAATGTTTTTTGGATTAGTGGTTGATGATAGCAAATACTTATCAAATACTTACTATATGCTCAATAATCTACTAAGATTTTTACATGAGTAGTTTTATTTGAGACTTACATTAGTATTGTGAGATTGGTACTGTTCTTATTTGGGTTAGGCAAACTATGCACAAAGAAATCATAAATTAACTTGTCCAGCAAGTCCACACTTAGCACATGGATAAATGGGCGAGTATTTGAATCCAAGCAGTGTGACTCCAGAGTACTTTATTACATTTTATCATTGCTGTGTCAAACTGATATATTCTGTTTAGAGATATTTGAATTAGTTCTTTGTCTTGTTTTTGCTTGTTTTTAGTTTAAATTTCCCCCTCTAGCATAGTTAGGTTATTCATTTGAAATAGTTTGGTTCATTTGTTTCTGTCTGTATCTATCCATTCTTAGAACTTTATCTTCACTCTTTTTGATTTTTTTAAAAAAATCTGTGAAACACTAACCTGGTTCCAAAAGCCAGAAATATACAAGTGGCTTTCCCTCATTCCCTCTTGCTTGTTTCTACTCACTCCCTGAAGATGGCCAATCTCATTATGTGTTAGTTTATTTTTTTCTGGGTTTCTTTTGCACAAATGAGCAGTTAAGTGTAGTTTTCTTGGTTTCTTTCTTACAGGAAAGGTAGGTAACACATTAGAGATACTCTTTTGTACTATGTTTTTTCTCTTAACTATAGTTACTGGGAATCATTGTGTATCCTTTTTACAGCTTTATGGCATTGTAGCGTGGATTTAGTCATTCTTCTATGTGTGGATATTTAATTTCCTTTCAGTATTTTGTAAATCTCCAAGAGTGCTATTATGACAAACCTTTTACATATGTAACTTTTTAAATTAGCTGTATATCCTCAGTGTAGATTAAGAGAAGTAGGGCTGCTGAATCAAAACATAAACACATATGCAGTTTTGTTTGATATTGTTAAATTCTTCTCCACAAGCATTGTACCAATTTGCATTCTGCCTGGTAATATGAGTGCCTTTTTCCCCACAGCTTTAACAACATGCATTGCTTTGCTTTTTTTTCTTTCTTCTTCTTCTTCTTTTTTTTTTCTTGGTTAATCCTTACCCAAGGATATTTAGAAACAGTGGAAGGGAGAGAAGCAGGGGGTGGAGAAGAGAGAGAGAGAGAGAGAGAGGGCAGGGGGGAAGGGGAGAGAGAGAGAGAAACATTGATGTAAGAGAGACACATTGATGGGTTGCCTCCCACACAGGCCTCGACTGGGATCCAACCTGCAACCCAGGTACCTGCGTGCCCTTGACCAGAATTGAACCCAAGACCCTTCAGTACACAGGTCAATTCTCTGACCACCGAGTCACACCAGCTAGGGTGCATTGCTTTACTTTTACATTTTTGACAATCTGATAGGAGAGAAATGGTATCTCATTGTAGTTTTAATTTACAATTTTATTGTGAATATAGTGTATCATCTTTTCATCTGTTCACTGTCCATTTTATTATTGTGTGTGAATTGTCCTTTTTTGGGGCCCATTTTTAAAATGGATTTTTGGTCTTTTCCTCTTAACTCTGAAGAGTTTATTATGGATATAGTCTTTATCTGATATATGTAATATTTTTAATTTATGTATTCTATTTTTTTGCCTTCTAAAAGTCCCTCCTCCCTAATGTAGTCAGGCTTATTATTCTCTTACCGTATCTGGATTTTCAGTTATGGTTAGAAAGCCTTTTCACTAAAAAGCCTTTCCTTACAGAAAAGCCTTTTCCTTATGTAAAAATAAGTTCACCCTTATTTTCTTCTAGTAGTTATAAGATGTCACATTTTATATTTAGATCCCTGATTCATTTGAAGTTTATTCCTTTGTATGGGGTTTATTCCTGTGTATGGTCTGAGTTATTGATCTAATTTTTATCTTTCTTAATCATTAACCAGTTATCTCACTGCAGTTTATTAAAAGGTCTATCTTTGTTGCACTGATTTTAAGATGCTGTTGTTATATGCTAAATTTCCACTGTACTTGGTCTATTTCTGTACTTTCCATTCTATTCCAGTAGGTCATTTGCATATTCATATGTCAGTACTACACTGTTTAAATTATAGAGCTTTATAGTATGTTTTTTTGTCTGGTAGGGCTAATTTTCCCTTGTAGCTGCCCCCCCCCCATGTTTTTCTAGCTATTCTTGGTTGTTTGTTTTTCCATATGAACTTTGGTATCATTTTGGCTAACTCCATAAAAAAGCTTCTTGATATTTTTAATTGGAATTTCATTAACTTTATAAATTGGTGAGAACTAATCTATTTGTGATATTTAATTATCCAGGAATAAGAGGTACCTTTCCATTTGTTGAGGTTAACTTTTGTATCTCTCAGGAATTTTACTTATACAAACTTTTGACATTTTTTTGTTAAGTTTATTTCTAAGTATTTTATTGCTTTTGTTGCTGTTGTTGTATAGTTCTGTTTTTTTCTCCTACATGCTAAAAAGGAGCAAGCTGCCTTACACAAGCTCAGTTCTCTCTACTGTATCATCTTTCCTTTGTGGAATTTAGGTATTCTTTGTTCTCTTTGCTAAATGTTAACTGTTCCAAAACATTTTTTTGATATAGTGACCAATTTATTTCTCTTGATTATCATAAAATAGTAGGAATTTTTTGACTAACAATTCTGTAGGTTTATATCTATGATACACATAGCTGCTGGCTAGGATTGCGTTAAATAATTATGCATTTCCAGAAAAAGTTTGGAATAGAGTCTCCTCCTTGCTCAATTAAATAAGCCAACCCGCTGAACCTGCTAGTGTCAGTGAGAGGCCGTTTATTTTGGTGTAAAAGCAAGGAGAGAGAGAGAAAGGTCATAGATAAAAAGAAAACCAAGAGTAATTATCCCTACATCAGTAGTCAGTGAACTTTATATCTAAGATGGCGATGTGTGTGTTATTTTAAGGAATTTCTATGACAAGCTTAATTTCATTAGTGTTTTACTTACAGTTTGAATGTGTGTGTGTTTTTTCCCCTGTGTGACCCATCATACTGTGGCAAATTAGTTCAAGTAAAGTTAAATTACTTCACTTGACCAGTTTGGAAATGCTTGTGATAGAAAACGCTATTATGGTATTGTAGGGATAAAGTCCAGTTAGGTACCTTATGTAGGAGACCTTTGATATTAGAGCAGGGAGAAGGTTAATCAGTCCCCAAAACTACTGATGGTTGTTGAGGCTGGCTTTCCCATTTTGAAGATCAGTAAGTTGCATTTTTAATTAATTAGTGATCTTAGCTTCATTAACTATTA